AATTGTTGTTTTTCCTTGTTAGGGTCATTTAATTGATTTGATTTTTATTAGGGTTAATTACTTATATATACTTTTTTCTTTTACAATACCTTAAATATACCCTGTGGTCAATACTCACAACTATGTTCTTACTCTTCCCAAACAAATAACCTTCCTTAATTAAACCTCTCGATTCTTTCATATAAATTAGTGACCACATCATTTTTACTTCTTGCAAATAAGACAAACAAAAATAAAACTAAATTTGAATCTTAAAGTAATCTAGGATTTACACTCAACCCATATTCCAAACAAATTAGTTTGCGTCATAGAAATGGTTGGTCATAGAATCATTTTATGTACCATAGGGTTGTTGAATCAACTTCTAGTGGGGTCTCTCTCTTTTTCTTTCTCCACGTTATTAGTTAGAATGAGAAAAATAATAGAAATTGTTGGTTTTTGCTATACAACATAGGGGAATGGATAGCCCTCCCCCAAACCCCCAACTAGACCTGGCAAAAAGTTGACCCAACCCGCGAACCTGACCCGACCCAACCCGAAAAAATAGGGTTAGGGTCTCATATTTAGCAACCCAAATGTGAAAATGAACCGACCCAACCCAATCCAAAAAAACTGGGTTGGGTTGGGTTGGGTCATGGGTTAACCCGCTGACCCAATTGTCAAGTCTAATTGGGATTATATATGCATTGTTAGAAGTTTCCACTCTTTAATTTTTTCTATTTAGTCTTTACTTTTTATTGTTTACTCTTTAAATTGTTAAATGTTCAAGTTTTTATTTTATATTTGGAATTTTAAGTTTAATTCTTTTAATTTTGACATTTTTCATGTAAAATTTCTTTATTTTTTAAAATTCCAATTATTTTTTGGATGACCCGAATTGACCCATGGGTCAACCCTAACCCGAACATTTAGGGTTAGGGTCTAGCATTTGACAATCCAACCCGAAATACCTTGACCCAACCCGAACCCGACCCACCCATCCCGATTGCTAGGTTTAGCCCAACCCAAGTGAAGGTAAGACTCGATCCCAGGTATCCGCAACAACCAGCTAGAGACTTTACCAGTAGGTTAACTGGCACCTTCAAAAAAAGGTCCTCCATTTACAATGTGCCCTTGAAGCCTAGCATATGATAGATGCAAATACTTGAGAAGAAAAAAATGTTGTGGAAATATAAGTAAATTTCTTAACAAAAAGCTTGTCAAATGGCTTGATTTTCAGGAAGAGGTACTTCTTCTAGCTCCTCAAAGAAAAAAAACATTGAGGGTCCATTTGGTTCGCAATCGGAATCAGAATCAGTATCAGAATCGAAATCTTCTAGAATTGGAATCAGAATGGTCCATTCCCATAGTCTGTTTGGTTCAAACAGGAATGGGAACGAGAATTAGAATCAACAAGAATGGAATCAACAGGAATGGACTTTCATTTCCAAGGGAGAGGCAGGGAATGGCCATTTCCTCAAATGGGAGAATGCCATTCCAATAGGAATGGGAATGAGATTCTAATTCCGCCCAACCAAACAGTTGGAACTTGAATAACCCATTCCAATTTTGATTCCTGAACCCTATTCTTGCGAACCAAATGAGGCCTGAAAATGGATATATATCTCATTTTGTAATAATCTAACTTTAACTTTTTGAAGCTTTCATAATACTCTTGTCGTGGTTGGGCTGGTTCCATTAATGTAATTGTCAACAAAACAGATAAAGATACCAATTCTCTCTTGAATGTTCCCCTAATTATACTGGGGCAAAGAGGTTTCCTACAATACCATTCGATTGGAATTGGACCAAGGGTGTTCTAATAATCTACAATTCATAAGGGAACAATAGAAGTTCCAATTAATTGATTTAAGGGTGTTTGTCAATACTAATAATTTTATTTTTTAAAACAAAAGAAGTTACTATACCAACAAAATTGTGTTATTTTTGACTGAATGACAATTGCTATCATATCTATACTACTTTAAAAAGCACAAATAGCCTCAAGAATATTTCTGGAATTTTTTGTGGACAAAATTTATCCCTCCATATTTAAATTTATTGATAAAAATAAGGGTAAATAGGGTAATCGATTATTGGTATTAAATGATTTGAAAAGAGGTAATTTTAAGATATTTAATGCATTCTATTCACTCTCATTAAATCCAACATTTAAAATATAAACTTGCATTCAACTTCATTGAATCGTATATTTAAGACATTTTTTTTGTTTCTTTTCATCATTAAATTCTATTAATTAAATTCATACATAATAAATTAATAATTCCAATAACATAAAAACTTATACTTTTAAATTCTACTTGGAAAAATTGTGTTTTCATCTATGTGGTGGTAAAAATAAACCACTTTGGGTTAAATGAGCCAATCCATGTTATCACAATTAAATAATAAAATTTAAAAATAGATAAAATGCAAAAAAAATATATAGAAATCATACAAAATTGGGAATATTTTTAACATCATATATTTGACATATTAAACAACAATAAGCATGATAAATAAGAAATGCTTTTATTAATGATGCAAATAAAATAAAAAATTTAAAACCAATTGGAAATAAAACTACTTTCCTATTCTCTCTCATTAAAACTCACATCTAATGTATATTCTCTCATTAAAGACTATGTTTAAGATATATTTTTCTCATCATTAAATTCTACTAATTAAATCGACACTTTTAATTTTAATATTATAAAAGTAAATATTTTGAAAAGTAATTTAAAAACAAAACCATTTTCTTCCCTTTTGGTGGTGGGTAGGCAATTCAACCATTTGGGGTCAAATGGGTTAATAAATAATGCCACAATTAAATAATAAAAAATGAAATAAATAAAATATATAATACCAAAAAATAAAAATAATAAGTTATCTCTCTAATTTTGTATATTTAATATACCAAACAAACATAAGTATGAAATGTAAGAAGTATTTTTATTAATGATGAAAAGGGAATGCTAAATCTAAAATCAACCTATAAATGAAATGATGTCATAATCAAACATAAAAATTTGAAAATAGAAAATACAAAGGATCACAAAAATAAAAATAGAGAAAATTTGGGCACATATCAAATGTTATATATTTATAAAAATAAAATATTGGGTACATGTTTAATATTATACATTCATTATCTTGAACAAAAATAAGTATTATACATAAGAAATAATTTTATTAATGATGAAAATGTAATATAAAATTTAATGTTAACGTAGAAATCAAACCATTATTTTTGGATAGTGAGATAGTGGTTTGGGTCAAATGGATTTATTGATGATATGATAGTTAAATAATAAATCTTTAAAAAATAAAAAAGTATAAGCAATCGAAAGAATATATAAAAAATTATATATTAATTATGCCAAACACAAATTAAGTGTAATAAGTAAAAAGTATTTATATAATGTAAATGAAATATATAATTTGAAATTGATTCAAAAGAAAAACTATTTTCTTATCTAGATGGTGAGTCAATGATCAAACTTCCAAAGAAACTCATGATGCCATAATTGAATAATAAATATTTAAAAAAAGACAGAGCACAAAAAATGAAAAAGTACAAAATTTTGTCGAATACATTTGGAAACATTTCTAATGATATATATTCATCATATTAAACAAAAGGAATTGTTAAAATAATTTTTTTTATTTATGATAGAAATGAAATACAAAATTTAATAACAATGATATTGATGATGATGATGATAATAATAATAATAATTGTAATTATAATTTAAAAATTCCACGTGCAATGCACATACACATTTACTACAGTCATTTAAGTTTATTTTTAATAATATTGTTACTTTTGTTAATTTTCAATTTCTATCTTAAATATGATATATCGGAAGTTCAAGTAATTAATATGAAGAAAAATTTCTCACATGAAATGCATGTACTTAATTACTAGTTAGAAAAAATACTAGTATAGACTATAGTGTTGAAGTAATGATATGACAAACATTAGATATATGATATTTGATTTAAATTTTATGATCTGCGTGAAAACTAAAGTAAGTATCTGCTTTATATTAACCATTTCTAAACACATTTTGATTGAGAGATCAAGAATTTAGAGTTAATTCTATTCTTTTTGGTGAAGAGAAATATTATTAAACAAATATGATAAACATCCAATACAAAACAACAAGTAATAATAATAATAATAATAATAATAATAATAATAATAATAATAATAATAATAATAATAATAATAATAATAATAATAATAATAATAATAATAATNTAATAATAATAATAATAATAATAATAATAATAATAATAATAATAATAATAATAATAATAATAATAATAATAATAATAATAATAATAATAATGTTTCTCTCAAAACCTTATATCCATGTGATAAGGACAAATAATCTAAGCATAATGGTGTAGTAGTAGATATATTGTCATTCAATATTAATTTAAATAAAGAGATAATTACTAGACATAATTAATGAAAATTGAATTTATATGATCATTTACAAGTAATGGTAATTGAGTTTGTATTTTCATATTCTAATTGCAAAAAAGAGAAAATTTGAAGATTGAAGGGTCTTGGAACGAACGTAGAAAGTGAGAAAAATATTCGAACCCCGTACCTCTCGCATGCAAAACGAGCTGATGAGCTACATTCCCTTCAATTTATTTTCATGTTTTCCTTATTCTATTAATAAGACAAGCAATATTACAACGACTACCTCCATGTTTCCTGTTCCTCTTATTTAATTTAGGGGACGTTTGGCAAGCCTTTCTATATGGTCTTTCAAATTTTTCAAAGCTTAGAAGACCTGATTTTAAGCTTTTCCGTTCGATAACCAAAAGACAGGAAGCCGAAAAGACAGGCCTTCCAAAAAGCTCGAGAAAGGTCATTTTAAGCTTTTCCGTTCATTTGAAGCTTCAGATCTTTTTGAGCATATGGATTGAGAAAGGGCATTCGAAAAACCCTCATTTTCTCTGTGCTTCGGCTAAACAAATCTAGACCAGGTATGAAGTCCTGCTCTTCTTTCTTTCTTTCTTCTTCTTCTTCTTCTTTTATTTTTTCCTTCAGTTTTCTATTTCTTCTTCGATCCAAATCTCTACTCTTACCTAGGTTCCTTTCAGATATGATCTCTCCCCTCTCTCTCACTTGTTCTGTCCGAAGTCAGGAAATCTGATTCAAAACCGGGTATGATCCCCATCATTTGATAATGATACGATCTCCTGATTTGCTTGTGGAACAATTTTTAGTTTGCTCTTATTTTTAGTTGAATTTCATCAAAATGATCTTCCGATTAACAGGTTAGTTAATAACTATTGTTAGATACCCTTTAGGGTTGTCGAGTAGAGCAATATCTAGAATGACAGAATGAATCTTCATCTTGAAATTCCTTTTTAAACTTGCTTCCACCGTCCAAAACCAGGTTCTTATTTAAAATTCAAGCTTTAAAATTTTGGTGAAATTTGTTTCCACCGTTTCAGACTAGCTCACAGAACTGGTTTCCACTTTCCAAATGAATTCAACTTGCAGCTCGGACCAATCCAAATTGATATCTGGGACCTTTTAATTTATTTGCATCATAATATTGGACCCAGTGTATGTCATTTTGAACGATGCATTAAATGTTTTTTCTTGTTCTACTTGAGTATGTAAAGTTTTCTTGGATTTAAACAACTTCTGGCCTGGTATCCATAATAAGAGTTTGCATAGCCTATTCTGAAATGGAGTCCATGAAGTTGGAGCAAAGAATAAACACTTTTACCTGTTATCTCATGGGGTTCAAATATTGTGTTCATCTTTGATATCTCATAGGATTTGATTGTTAAAATTTTGGTGGTTTGAAACTCCAAGAGTTTTTGGCCTCCCTTAAAGGCTTAAAACTATTTCTATTTATCTATTTACATGTTACTTTTGGTTAATAGTTAATTCCATGTCTTAATTATTGAGTCCACAATGAAATTAATAACCCGTCTAAGAGGTTGTAACCATATCTAGGCTTAATACTCATAACCCCTTAAACATGGTAAACCTATGGATGTGATAAACTAGAGGCTTCCTATGCAGTCGAACAACCTTCTAAATTGAGATATTGTAAGTATGTCTTTTAGCTAGAAGAGAGATAATGAAAGTGATAAATCTTTTATATTGCTTTTCTCTTATGATTTATAATTGGTGCTTTGTGCATTTCGAAAACTTCAAAACTTGCAGCCTTAACTGTGGACTGTGATAAACCATGCAACTTTAAAAAAAGTAAAAACATCAGTGACTATAAATATACAATTAGAAGAAACCTGAAGGAGAAGAAAGGAAAAGAATGGTCTTGAAATGTGTGTGTGTGTGTTTTCAAGTCTGAAAATTTTCATGTGATTTCCTCGTGAATTTGCTACTATGAATTACTTTTTTCAGACCTGAAAGCTCCTGTTTTTATATGTAACATGGTTTGGGTCTTGCTTTGTTTGCATTTAAGAAGTACTACTATTAATTACCTTTCAAATTTGAAAATTCTCATGTGATTCCATCATGAATTTGCTACTATGAGTTAAAATTTTCAGACCTGAAATCTACCATTTTGCTTT